AGAAGCCCTTTGGAAAGGAGTATTTCCTTCAGTCATCAGTATAGCAGTCATACCTCGGTAAAATTAACATTAAACTGCACCACCAGAGATGTAATGGTCAACACTAACTCACTGCCAGGGGTGGGATGATGGTGGTGAGCAGTTTGGCCTGGCAGGCCATAGGCATACCCGTGGTGAGAACTTGCCCAAATTTGGTCCTAGACAAAATTATCTTGTCTTATCAAAACTTATCAAAACTGACGGTTATCTTGCTTATGTCCAATCTCTCTTTTATTCTCTTTTCCGTCTTACGTTGTCCCCTTCAACATACTCTTAGGCTCTTTACAATGTACTTACCTATCCTGCACCAAGAAATGCCCACGAATGGGGCGCCTGGGTGGCTCAGTCGGTTAATCGTCTGCCTTCGGCTCAGGTCATGATCCCAGGGTCCTGGGATCGAGTTCTGCATCAGGCTCCCTGCTCAGTGGGGAGTCTGCTTCTCCCTCTGCCCCTAGCCTCGCTCATGCTCTCTCTCAAATAAATAAATAAAATCTTAAAAAAATAAAAAGGAAGAATCACTGGGGCACCTGGCTGGTTCAGCTGGGGGAGCATGCAACTCCTGATCTTGGGGTTGTGAGTTCAAGTCCCATGTTGGGTATAGAGATTACTTAAAAATAAAATCTTTAAAAAAAAAAGAAGAAAGAATCACTGGATTTTTTTGAAAGGCTGTGCTAGATGAGATAACAGAAGGAAGAAACTACTGTTTTTGAAAACTGTAAGAAATTCTAACTAATTTGTTGGCCTAAGATTATAAAAACTCTTTTATTTCTATTTACTGTGGATAAGTAATATAACTTTTGAGAAACTCCAAAGGCTGGGGAAACAGAAGATTCTGGGCTATGAACTGATATGCTAATTTTTATTAGCCAGATCTTTATTTGGACACCATGTGTTCATTATATCCACTAGATATTTATCAAGCACGTGCTATATGTCAATCAACATGCCAGGTGCTACAGAAACAATAGTGAACTAGGCACGGCCTTTGCCAGAAAGAAGCTTACAGGTTAGTGGTAGAGAGGTAATAATTATATACCCTCACATATAAATGTAAAAACACAACTGTCAGGGCATGTAGTACATGCTATTGTGAACAGATGCCCCTAGAAAACAAGATATCTGATTTAGTCAGGGAAGGCATTTTGTTAATGTAATAGTTGAGATCTAAAGAATGTTATCTAGCGTTGCCGGGATGGTTCAGCTGGTTAAGTGTCTGACTCCTGATCTCAACTCAGGGCTTGAACACACGATCCTGAGATCAAGGGTCGTGAGTTCAAGCCCTGCATTGGGCTCCATGCTGGGCTCCATGCTGGGCATGGAGCCTACTTAGAATAAATGAATGAATGAATGAATGACATTATTTAGGCCAATGGTTCTCAGTGGGGTTGGTGGTGGTAGTGGAGGTATATGTGCATTAGGACATTTGGTAATGTCTGCAGACATTTCTGGTTGTCATGGCTGGGAGATACTACTAGTATCTAGTGAGTAAGAGGACAGGATGCAGTTAAATATCTTACAATGCACAGGATAGTCCCCCACAACAAAGAATTAGCTGGCCTAAAATGTCAAAAGTGCTAAGGTTAAGAAACCCTGAACTAGGGGCGCTTGAGTGGCTCAGTTGGTTAAGCATCTGCCTTTGGCTCAGGTCGTGATCTCGGGGTCCTGGGACCAAGCCTGGCATAGGGCTCCCTGCTCAGCAGGGAGTCTGCTTCTCCCTCTCTCTCTACCCCTCCCCCTCTCGTGCTCTCTCTCTCTCTCTCTCAAATAAATAAAATCTTAAAAAAAAAAAGAAACCCTGAACCAGGCAAAGGAAAAACCACAAGCAAGTAAAGACCACTGATGGGAGACTCAAGAAAAGAAAATTACAGGGGATACATCATACAAAGCTCTCTAGGCCATGTTCAGGAGTTTTAGCTTTATCTTAAGAATGAAGGAAAAAACAAAGGCTTTCAAGAAGATGAGGAGCTGGGGTTAAGGACAGTGGTGGTGACATGCTCAAATTAATATTTTTTTTTTTATTATTTATTTGCGAGAGAGAGAATGAGAGACAGAGAGCATGAGAGGAAGGAGGGTCAGAGGGAGAAGCAGACTCCCCACTGAGCAGGGAGCCCGATGTGGGACTCAATCCCGGGACTCCAGGATCATGACCCGAGCCGAAGGCAGTTGCCTAACCAACTGAGCCACCCAGGTGCCCCTCAAATTAATATTTTTAAAAGGTTACTAACTGCAGTATGGAGAACAGATTGGAAGAGAACATAACTTGATGTGGGTAGATAAGATGGCTAGTTACCTAATTTAACTTTTTAGAAGCTCCAAAGGCTAGGGATACAGAAGGTAGTAGTGGTATGTATAAATTGCTGAAAAACTTATCCCCATCCATTTTTTTTTTAAGTTAATTTATTTATTTTACAGAGTAAGAGAGAGAGAAAGAGTGTACATGAGCACGCATGCAAGTGGGGTAAGGGGCAGAGGGAGAGAATCTTCAAGCAGACTCCCTGCTGAGCGTGGAGTCCGCCGGGAGGCTCCACCCCATGACCCACAACATCATGGCCTGAGCTGAAACCAAGAATGGGATGCCCAACCGACTGAGCCACCAGGTGCCCTGATAAACTTCCTTTTATAAATGTTCAGCATAGGAACAGGAGAAGGGAAGACTGTACAGTGCTATATTCACAGTCATCCCCGTAACTTGTGGGTTTGTGTAGTGGTCAGCTCTAGGTCCTTCGGAATTCTAGAGATGGAATAATAACGCTAAAAACAGATAAAATGTCTTGTCTTTAAAAAATAAGGAACAAGAATATTTCTTTCTTTCTGCATGTGATGTATGGTGACTTGTAAACCAATTTATTTGTAAGGATCCAGAGAACAAAAAACTGGAATAATTAAATTTAATGGACAAGCTATAATCCACATTTATATAATCAGAAGCTTAGGAAGTAGTAAAACCAATAACTGGCCTGAGTATATTCTCAAGAATATGTTTTTCCTTAGAGAGCCTGGGTGGCTCAGTCGTTAAGCATCTGCCTTCGGCTCAGGTCATGATCCCAGGGTTCTGGGATGGAGCCCTTCATCGGGCTCCTTGCTCAGCCGGGACCCTGCTTCTCCCTCTCCCACTCCCCCTGCTTATATTCCCTCTCTAGCTGTCTCTCTCTCTCTCTGTCAAATAAATAAAATCTTTAAAAAAAATAGGTTTTTCCTCAATTATTACATTAAAACCATAATAGAAAATATTAAATACTATTTTATTATAAAACATATCATATATAGAAGAGAATAAACATATAACGTATGGTTTAAAGAATAATAAAACTAGGGGCACCTGGATGGCTCAGTCTGTAGAGCATGCGACTCTTGATTTCAGGGATCTGAAATTGAGCCCCACATTAGGCTCCCTGCTTGGTGGAAAGTCTGCTTCTCCCTCTCCCCCTGCTGCTCGCTCCCCCTGCTTGTGCGGTTTTGCTCACGCTCTCTCTCAAATAAATAAAATCTTTTTTTTCTTTAAAGATTTTATTTATTTATTTGAGAGACAGAGAGAGAGAGAGAGGCAGAGGCAGAAGCAGGCTCCTTGCTGAGCAGGAAGCCCAATGAGGGACTCAATCCCAGGACCCCAGGAACATGACCTGAGCCTAAGGCAGAGGCTTGAACCATCTGAGCCACCCAGGTGCCCCAAATAAATAAGATCTTAAAAAAATAATAAGACTAATAACTCATGAACTCACCTCCAAATGGCAATTTTTTTAAAATAGCAAAAGTTCTCATAAGTGTTTTGTTTTATAAATGGCTTTTAAGATAAAGATTTATGCTAAAACTACATAAAGGGTACCTTGTACCATTGGGCAGTTAAACAAATTTTTAAAAGATTTTATTTTTTAAAAGATTTTATTTATTTACTTGACAGAGAGACAGCGAGAGAGGGAACATAAGCAGGGGGAATGGGGGAGGGAGAAGCAGGCTTCCTGCTGAGCAGGGAGCCCGATGCGGGGCTCGATCCCAGGACCCTGGGATCATGACCCGAGCTGAACGCAGACGCTTAACGACTGAGCCACCCAGGCGACCCCCTAAGATTTTATTTTTAAGTAATCCCTACACCCAGTGTGGGGCTCGAATTCACAACCCCGATATCAAGAGTCGCATGCTCTATGGACTGAGGCAGCCAGGAGCCCTTGGGCAGTTAAACTATTAAATGAAAAGAAAGCCTCTCTCCTGTAAACCCCAAATAAAAAAAAAATACATTAAAAAATTTCATTATCTGACACTATTCCCATTCTAGTTAATTAATTTGATTAACCCGACAAAGAGTCTTTCTTTACTGTTTTATCAAAGTCAACTCCACAAATTTGTGACATTACCATTTGAAGCATAAGTTAAAACTGATCTTACTTCTATAAACACAAAACTAAAAGCTTTGGAAAGTCTAGCCTTTTAAAATGGCCTGATTTTTCTCTAGTGAAGTAACAGGTTCATAACTCACATATTTTGTAATATTATACCATATTATCATGCCTCATTTAATTAAATATTAATATTTTATGTAAGATTTGTATTTAAATTAAATGCAACTGTGCATCTGGCATCCAATTTTGGCTAAAAATCATAGCATTGTACTAAAGCACCATTAAACTGTAATAATACACACATGTCTTTTATACAAAGAGAATTTCTTATTTCTTTGGAGGAGCAACAGTCTCAAACTCCAAAGCTTTTTTTTAAATCAAGAATTATATGACTTTAAAATTAAAATTTAATTAAAAATCTAAAATTAAATAAGGATTATCTGAACTTCATCTTTCCCTGCTGTAGGGCAAGAAAGTCTTTAATTTAACTAATAATAGGGCAAAAGATTTTTCCTTCTCAAAAAATAAAAAGGTATTAGAAAAATTCTGTCCCAATAAAATCTTTTATACATTTTCTTCTATTTGAACAGTGATGACATTAATATTAATCCACAAAGAATTACTCACCCAATGAAAGCCACCATCTGCTCCACTATGTGTTTGCTGAATGTTATTATAACGAAGATTTTCTGTAAAGAAAATAACAGTTAAAATAAGTATTTCTGTTATCAGAAAAAAACCTCAATATAAATTCATAATTCTGATAAGAGTCTAAAGAGGCGAGGTCCTGCCCCAATTACAATTTTTAAAATTCTTTAAAAAAACAAAAACAAAAACAACACTTGCCTAACAAATGCTACCTACTTTGTATTTTAAGGATGTTTTTCCTTAAGCACAGCTCTAGTCTTACAGGATACATGACCACGTCTGAGGGAAAAATGTGAGTCATGAAACCCAAGGCTGGGTGGACATTCCACATGTACTATGTATCTTAGAATGGAGTACACAAACTGAAGTCATGGGTTCCCATATATAGCCCCCACTACTGAAATTAAAGCTGATCAGCCTGAGGACTGGGCTAAATCTAATCCAGAGGATCCTGAAAAGCCTGTACATCCTTTATGGAAAGTTTATAGAAATTAGCATTCAAGTTTCATTCTTAGACCCTGAGTGATCTTGGACTTTTAGACTTACTGTACAAGCAAAAACATCAACAGGTTATTGAGAATCTTTATCAGACTTGGGTCATTTTCAATTTGGTGTTACTGAGGTACTTTCCATTAATTAAAGATGTTGATACCTTACAAGTAAAGATGCCTTTAGTGCTAAAAGGTAGCAAATATCCCCAACTCAATTAAATAAATGTTCAAAATAATATATATCATGAGGCATTTTTATGGATTTTCAGGGAACATGAAATGGGAAGGACACTTCTTGAAAGTCCTGAAAAAAATTTTTTTTTGAAGATTTTATTTATGTAGGGGCAGCTGGGTGGCTCATTTGTTAAGCATCTGCCTTAGGCTCAGGTCATGATCCCAGCATCCTGGGATTGAGCCCCGCATCGGGCTCCCTGCTCAGCGGGAAGCCTGCTTCTCCCTCTCCCACTCCCCCTGCTTGTGTTCCCTCTCTTGCTGTGTCTCTCTCTGTCAAATAAATAAAATCTTAAAAAAAAAAAAAGATTTTATTTATTTATTTGAGAGAGAGAGAGCAGGAGTGGGGAAGAGAGGCAGAGGGAGAAACAGACTCCCCACTGAGCAGGGAGCCCGATGCGGGGCTCGATCCCAGGACCGTGGGATCATGACCTGAGCTGAAGGCAGACGCTTAACCTGCCCCTTGCCCTGAAGAAATTAAAAAATTTTTCTATACATAGTAGAAAGATGATAAGTTTTATATACATACATAAACTATACATGACTAGTAAAAATGTATTATACAAGTTCAGAGAAAGGAAAGGTCATATAAGTAGGATTAATAGGAGATTCAAGAAGGTGATACTAAAGTTTAGGTCTAAAGGACTGATAATTCTTTTATTAAATATGAGTAATTCTAGATTCTCTCTCCAAATTCCTGATGACTGCTTACATTTTTGTTAGTTTGTCAAATAACAACTTTAGCCTATGCAACCAAAAGGGAGTGAAGAGAAATAAAATGAGTAACAATAGACTTCTTTTTATCCACCCATTATGAATCTCAGGAAAGTAGCTAAGTTAGACTGAAGCATATTATTTCAGATAGAAGACTAATAAGGCAATGACATTTTCTTAAGAAATGTCCTAGTGTTGGGCGCCTGGGTGGCTCAGTTGGTTGAGCGACTGCCTTCGGCTCAGGTCATGATCCTGGAGTCCCGGGATCGAGTCCCGCATCGGGCTTCCTGCTCAGCGGGGAGTCTGCTTCTCCCTCTGACCCTCTTCCCTCTCGTGCTCTCTGTCTCTCATTCTCTCTCTCTCTCAAATAAATAAATAAAATCTTAAAAAAAAAAAAAAGTCCTAGTGTTAACAGAGACACTGGCAGCTGCACAGCTGGATATGTGTAAGGAAGTAAGACTAAAAAAAAAAGTTCACAGTCTTTTTTGGTGTTTATGTATCTATTTTTTTTAAAGGTTTTTTAAAATTTATTTTAGAGAGAGAGCTGCAGGAGGAGCAGGAGAGGGACAAGCAGACTCTGTGTTGAGTGTGGAGCTCGACATGGGGCTCGATCCCATGTCCCTGAGATCGTGACCTGAGCCAAGAGTAGGACGCTCAACCAACTGAGCCACCCAGGTGTCCCTGTTTATGTATCTATTAATTTTAAAAAGATACTACCTATCTCATGAAAAAAGCAAGCACATGTCAAAAACAGGTACAAGATGGATGATGATTTCATGAACAGTGTTATACAAATGGTGTATGAAGATTATGAAGCCAAATAGACAATTATTATAGACCATTTAGGGAGAAAAGCATTAATATATAGGGGTCTTTCTAGTTTCCAGAAAAGCCAGTTATTGGAGCTATAAATCTTTCACTAAGAATTAGAGCTAAGAGTTTTGCCTCTCAGTGATTTCACCACCATGAGTTTTCCTTACCATCATTTCCTAACACTGAAAATAAGCCAATGCCCAGATAATTGCATAATTTCATTGCTTGAAAACAAAACAAGACTTTCTTTTTATATGCAACAGCTTGAAAATTCATTGTGCTGGGAAGACATACATGTGCCAGATATTTAAGAACATACGTCTCATCTCATTCAGGCTAGAGGTCTGAGTGAGGATTCTACCAAATAAACAAAAGGCACCAGCCACCAAACAGCCCACTCAACCATGTGTGCAGAGGAAAGGGTTGAGTAGGTAAAAAAAAAAATATGGGTATAGGGAACTAACAGTGCCAGAATGAACAAAGAAGAAACTATCTATAAAAGAAGGTCCTTTAATGGAACGAAAAATCTTAAATTCATTTATTAAAAATTTACTGAGTAGGGCAGGGTGCTTGGGTGGCTCAGTCAGTTGAGCGTCTGACTCTTGGTTTTGGCTCAGGTCATGATCTCAGAGTTGTGGGATCGAGCCCGGTGTGGGGCCCCGCACTCAGTACAAACTCTGCTTGAGATTCTCTCTCCCTCTCCCCCTTCCCCTGCTCACGCTTGCTCTTTCTTTCAAATAAATAAAATCTTTAAAAAAACCCAATTTACTGAGTGGGGCACCTGGCTGGCTCAGTTGGTAGAGCATGCGCCTCTTGATCTCAGGGTTGTGAGTTCGAGCCCCATGTTGGGTGTACAGATCACTTAAAAATAGTATCTTAAAAAAAAATTTACTGGGGCACCTGGGTGGCTCAGTTGGTTAAGCAACTGCCTTCGGCTCAGGTCACGATCCTGGAGTCCCAGGATTGAGTCCCGCATCGGGCTCCCTGCTTGGCAGGGAGTCTGCTTCTCCCTCTGACCCTCCCCCCTCTCATGTGCTCTCTCTCTCTCAAATAAATAAATAAATAAATAAATAAATAAATATCTTTAAAAAAAATTTACTGAACGTCTACTACATGTCATATGATATTCTAGGCACTAAAATACCTCAGTGCGTCAAAGACAAAATTCTCTACCTTCATGGAGCTTATATTTATTTCTGTGTATGTGTCTGTGGTGGAAAGGTAGAGAGGCAATAAACAATACACATGGTAAGTAAGTTATAGGGTATGTGCAGTATTGAGTACATTGACTTTGGAAATCCCAATCTAATATTATTAGTGGGCTACTTCGAAATTTTTAGGGGAAGTTTAACAAATAGCAAGATATCAAAAATAATATTTTTGGCTGTTTACTTTAGGCTGAAGAAAAAGAGAAAAGAGCCAGAAGATAGGTTTACTATCAGATTACAGAAAAATCTGTGTGTGGTTTCCCTCTGATTACTTCAGAAATAGTTAAAACATTTATATTACACACTACTCTTGTTTACCCAAAGAATGAGAAATGTTTGTCACCCTGAGCTACATCTGGATGTACATCAAGTGACATGCCTTTATAAAATATGTCTCCCTGGTACAATGGAACACAGCAAACATATCCCATGGTCTCAGTTTAGTGAAGGAACTCAGATTCTCTGCTTTCAAAAACAAAAAGATTTTGGCTTTCTTTTTTTCCTTCCACACACATAAAGGGTATAGCTTTGAATTTACAGAGTTTTGTTTGAATTCCAGGGCTTTAGCCATGTATTTTATCTTCTCTAATACTCAGTTCTCCTATTTATGAAATATGGATAATAATTATCTCACGGGATTGTTCTGAGATGACCAGTGCACACTGCCTGGCACAGGTCCTGATAAATAGCAGGCTTTAAACAATTCAGTTTCCTTAATCACATAAATAATTTATAGTTTAGAAGGCAATGTAAAAGAATGGGAAGAACACTGAACTTGAAGCCAAAGACATGCGTTCAAATTCCAGCTGTTATTTACTTTACTTATTAACCTTCTAAGTTTGACAATTATAAAATGGGAGTAGTCATTTCTCTATCCGAGGATTATAATAAAATCAGCTCACAAACACGAAGTGCTTTAAAGTGTGAAGTACCATATAAAAAAATTAAGCATTATCGTAACTTGAAAAAAACTGAGAATGTTTAAAAAATATACTATTTTTAATATTCTGTAGTGAAAAATCTGGTAAGTTGAATGCCCATCACTATAGAATACTCTTAGCATAATAAATTTTACTATAATTTATAAAGAAAGTTACTACACAAAGCTGGGTGCATAAAGCTTACAGATTCTCAGAAAAGTGGCTATTATGAAGGGAATTAAAAG